GCTGAAGCCAGTTGCTCTATCATTATTGAGTTATAAAATATACATTATTTAATATTACATGATGTTAATATATTGTATGTTAATATATGCATTACATATTTTTAAAAGAATTACTCATTTAATTTTTTTATTATTATTTTTTTATTTGCTGCAGGGCACACATGCTCAGCAGAGAGAGAGAGGGAAAGTAAGAAAGCAAGCTACCAGGTCAGGGACTCAATCCATGGTCGGCCACGTGGGAATCCAGCGCCCCAACCACCATGGCACTTTCTGGTCCCCATTACATATTTAAAAAATTTTTTGCTATAGGGCACATGCGCTTGTCAGAGAGAGAGAGAGAGAGAGCGAGAGAGAGCGAAGGAAAGTGAGAAAGCACATCCTGGGGGCTGGCTATGCTGTGACCTGTCTCTCGGGCACACATACCGCGTGATTTTCCAGCCACCAGGTCCAGGACTCAAACCACGAAGTCACCTACCTCACCTACCACAGCATTGGCTGGAACTAATGTTTTATTATTATAGTATTAACATATAATGATAGCATTATATGTTAATTATTCTGTATCAAGTAACCTCCTAAAGCAAATCCTACCAACATTAGACATGCTACCATGTGTCAGAACATCTCAGAATGGAAAACATCCTTAAACCAAAAACGTCTCTTTCAGCTCACCGTGTTCACAACCTTGATGGATGTTACCAAAGGCCAGTATGAAGCGTACCTGCGGGACTGCCCCGAGCCGTGTATAGGTTGGTGAGCACGCTGTGGCCTGCGGAGCGCACACACAGACTGGAGCACAGGCCTCGCGTGTGGCCGGCCAGCAGCCTCGCCTGATCCGCGTTGGTCCACCGGACTCAGGGCAGGGTTTCCCGGTTTACAGCGCACGGCCTGTGTTCCCTCACAGCCACTTCTCTGCGGTCCACTCTTTCAAGGGAGGCGACATCGTCTGGAGCTTGCTGGGTTTCCTTTCACTGTGACTTCTAGGGATGGGACAGGCAGTAAACATCGGGGATCCCCCTGCCTGGAAATGGTAGAGGGTCTCTGAGCATAGAACGAGGTCGTCTGTGTGGAAGGAGTAACAGTAACCCGTGTGATTCCGGCTTTCACTTGGATCTAGATGGGGACATCTTCTGTGCCGCGGTGTTTTCCTCCTGGCTCTGACCGCCATGAACATTGTGCTGTTAGTGACAGCAGGATATTTCACACTGACCGAGGGCTGTGTGTTTCTTTAAATGGGCCTTCGACTCTGTACGCAGTCCTTCCGGGGTCCATGAAGTCATCTCTGTGCAAGGGTACAGAGCACAGAAGCATTTCCTTTTTCATGATTACTCTACCTCCCGGTGACCCCAGGAAGTTGCTAACTTCAAAAATGGAGTCCCAGGGTCTGTGGACTAGTAAATGAGCATGTCAAAGATTTGTGCAAAATAAGAGGTAAACTCATTATCTTAAATTCTAATAACTGGGTTTTTAATCTGTCCTGATCGACGTGTATTTTTTTTTTAAAGCTCTTAGCACGGTTATGAGAAATGATTTTCAGAAATCAACCTGTTTATGAGAAATGCTAATAGAACCTGTTAACCTCTCTGCTTCCGTGGCTAACAGCAGTGTATGTCCCTGTGCAGGGCTGTGCCCACTGCACTTAGTATAATGCCAGTCGTGTTCCTGACACTCAATAAACAGCCATACAAGCAGTGTGGGTTGGCTGTCATGCAATGGTTGGGTGTGCACCTATGGAGTGGTGTGAAGGTGGGGGTTTATCGAGAAACACAAGCCGAAGGTAACATATGGGTTAAATAACAAGGGTTACGTAAGCGGGTTATTAAACATGACCGAACGGGCACGCTACTGACTAATCCCTATGCCTCTTAGTCCGTAGTACAACCCACAGGTCGCCTGTCTTCACCGCCCTCTCAGTCGGCCTGAGCTGCTGTGGAGAGCCCAAGTTAGAAAACCTCCATCCTTTACAGCTGTGACCCAGGGCCCACCGCAAATATGGGCAGTCCTTACAATTCTGTAAACGACTGGATGGAGACGCTTGAGCGGCCATTACTAGTCAGTCCCCAGAGCGAGGGGGAGAGTGGCTCACTGAGTGAATGTGGACGCTGGTCATGTGAGCTGTGTGACAGCTGTGGCACGATGCACTGAGTGCGCATACCCTGTCGCCAGCTCAAGTGTGGGGCTGGCCTCCGCCACTGGCATGACCAGACCGATGGGGTGGCGGGGTTGGAGGGCCCCCAGCCGATGCAGCAGGCCTTCTTCTGTACCCTCCCCTTATCCTGGGGACGCATTTCCCAGCAGGTAGCACGGGGATACTGCTGTGCACTGGGCAAGTCCCTCTGGCATTTCTGCACAGCTACGCCCCGTTTTCCCAGACTTAGCTTTCCAAGAATGCTTGTCTAGGAGGAGGGCAGAGGTGGGCCAGGTTAGCAGAGCAGACCCTCCCAAGTCTGGGCGTTTCCTGAGCTGGGTTCCTTGGCCGGGATACAGAACGTGCAGCGCACGCCGTGTCCACCGGGCTGTTCCACGTTCCCTCTGTGGAGGATTTGGGAGCCGAGGAGTGGATGCCAACCTGAAGCCCACGGTGTGCCGGGCTGACACAGTCCTGCGCTGCTAACCCAGATGCTGGCCAGCACCCTCCAGACTGGCACGCTAGCTTGTTATCTCACAAGCAGAGTCAGACCCTTCGCCATTCAGATCACACGCACGTGCACACACACAGAGTTTTCCCCTTGTTTATGATAGAACCCCCGTGAGCACATGGAGAGAGGTGAGCACCCTCCATAGGGTCTGGGCACTGCAGCCCCTTCCTCCAGCCCTCTAGCCTGGCAGATCCTGGGCACTCATGCTTGTGCCCATGTGTTGCAGGCTGACTGGGCTGGGGATTCCAACCATGGTTGCCATGTGGGATTCGGCTTCTCTTGACCAGTGTGTTACCACTGTCCCATGGAGCTGGCCGCCTTTACCATTCAACAGTGCCATGCCTGGGTGGAGAGAGGATCTCTCAGCCCTGGGGGCAGCAGGGCAGGGTCCTAGGCATGCAAACCACTGGCCCAGCAGCCCAGCCACCTCTCACAACACCAGCCTCCTTTGGGGCTCCTGGGAGAGCAGGCTGCAGCACACAGGGGTAGACCGCCTCCCCCCACGCTCTCACTAGGCTGGGGCGGGTGGAGGTGGTGGTAAGACATGCAGCAAGTTAGTACAAATTCCTGAACATGCTGACCAGAAAGGGCCTGGGTCAACTCAGTCAGACTGAGGTAGAACTGAAAAAAGTAATTCCAGGGAACCAGCAGTTAGTGTAATGGCTATGTCCCTGGACTCCCACATAGTTGACCGCGGTGCGCGTCCTGGGCCCGGTAGCTTAAAACTCACGCCGGGCACATGTGCATGCGTGCCCAAGATCCTGAGAGGAGAATGGAGGAGAAGAGATTGCGGCGTGACCATCCCCTCTGTGGGATGATTTCTCGCTTTCTGTCTCTATCTCTGTCTGTCTGGCGAGCGCATGCACCCTATAGCGAAAACCTCTCCAAAAAAAAAGTAATTCCATTTCTGATAGCAACAAAAAGTATAAGATACTTTGGAATAAATCAACCAAAGAAGTTAAAGACCTCCACAAGGAAAACTACAAGAAGCTACAAATAGAAATTGAAAATGACACAAAAAAGTGGAACCTAACTCCAGTCAGAATGGCTAAGACTAAAAAAAACAAAACAAAAAATGATACGTGCTGGCAGGGGTGTGGTGAAAGGGGAACTCTTTTACACTGCTGGTGGGAATGTAAATTGGCACAGCCACTGTGGAAAACAATTTGGAGATTCCTCAAAAATCTACAAATAGAACTTCCATATGATCCAGCAATCCCACCCCCAAAGGACAGAAGAATTCTTAATCGAAAAAGTGCTTGCACATTGATGTTTATTGCGGCATTATTCACAAATGCTAAGACATGGAACCAACCAAATGCCCACGAAGAGATGGATTGAAAAACTGTGGCACATATGCTCTATGGAATACTACTATGCCATAAAAAACAAGACCCTGGAATTTGACAGAAAGTGGATGAATATGGAAGATTTACTGCTGAGTGAAGCAAGCCATGCTATGAAGGAGAGACATTGTATGTCTCCACTTAATATATACCAAGTGTCCCCACTCTATGACCAAAACTGAAAGGCTAAAGGATATAGAAACACAGTAAATGGTTGTGAATACCAGATATAGTGTGGGAAGAGGGTGGTGAAGGAGTAGAATCTGAGGAAGGATGTTAAGGAGAAAAATAGAGAGGCTTAGCATTAATGGGACAAAGAAATGGGGTATTATCTGTTGAAGATAATTTTATAGTATTATCAACTGGACTGGGGAGCAATGTACACATGTTGGAATATTCACTTTGCAAGCTAAATAACGTGACTGAAGGTATAAAAGAACTTGTAGTTAAAAAACCTAACAAATAAATAAACAGGTAGCATGGTGGTTAGGAGTGCTGGACTCCCACATGGCTGCCCACGGTTCAAGTCCTGGACCTGGCGGCTTCCTTTCTCTCTCTCATCAAAATTTAAATAAATAAATAAATTTAAATACAATAATAATAATAAAAAAGAATGAGTAGTTATTTGGATGAAGGAAGGAAACGGCTTTACTGATAGAGAAAAAGTGTATGGATCATAGAGGCATGACACAGTGTAACCACTTTGAACTATGAGTTGTAAAGTGCTTTTGGTAATATGAAGCCAGAGAGGCCAAAAGAGGTGTCCAAGAATCTATAGCTGACATTTTGTCAATCAAATCAGTTTAGAAATATAAAATTACTTAACATTCACTCTTGTGGTTGTTGGGTCACTAAATTCCAGTGGCTTCGAGACAACTTATTCCAGCATAGGATTAAGAAAAAAATTCACCTTGTCCTTCCGCGATGCCCTTTCTGACGTTACTGCTCAGAAGCAGGTGACCCACTGACTTCAGTCAGACTTGGGTTCTGCAAATGATTCTTCGTGTCATGCTCTGCCTTGGATGTTCTCCTTGCCCAGAAGCACTCCAGGAAGTGCTCTTATCATGGTGAGAATCTTATCCTAAGTATAAGCAGGTCAGACTTTCTCTAGATCCCTGCTCCTTCTTGCCACTCAGTGAAGAAACAGATGCAATTTCCCACTTACTCACTTAACAAAATAAATATTGGCAGGAAAATATCACAATTTAGGCCACAGGGCAAGCTGAAACAACAGGAACCAGATTCACTCTTCCACCTGATACAATAGGAAAACCAGGCAGATTATGTGCAATGAAGTTGTAAACCATTAGATAGACATCTGAAAAATGGGGATTAAGTGAGCCCCAGAGTGGCCCCAGCTTACTGCCTGGAGAGTACTAAGAAGAGCTCTGTCTCAGTAGTGGAACAATATTAGTCATAGGCTAAACATTGTTCTGATCTTGCCTAACAATGTATAAAAAAAAAGACCTGACAAGATTAACTTGTTTTCAAGTAATTAACTGCACCCCAGAACAAAGCACAAGACTATTTACAGGAATAGAAAAATACCCAGTATCCAATAAGGTAAAACACAGAATGTCTGGCACCCAGTAAAAAATTACCAGGCATGCAAAGAAGAAAGAAAACATGGCTCATCATGAAGAGGGAACAAAATCAATCAATCAATCAATCAAAGTAGGGAACCAGCAGTTAGCGTGATGACTATGTCGCTGGACTCCCACGTAGTCGACTGCGGTTCGCGTCCCGGACCCAGTGGCTTAAGGACCCGGTGGCTTAAAACTCACGCCGGGCGCGTGTGCGTGCGTGCCCAAGATCCCGAGAGGAGAATGGAGGAGAAAGGATTGTGGCGTGACCATCCCCTGTGGGGGGTGATTTCTCGCTTTCTGTCTCTCTGTCTGTCTCTGTCTGTCTGGCGAGCGCACGTGCCCTATAGCAAAAACCTCTCCAAAAAAAAAAAATCAAAGTAAACCACGGGTCGGCAAGTAGCATGGTGGTTAAAGGTGCTGGATTCCAACATGGCCGACCACGGTTCAAGTCTCGGACCTGGTGGCTTGCTTTCTCACTTCCTCTCTTTCTGTCTCTTTCTCATCAAACTGGAAAATAATAATGATAATAATAATAAATAAAGTTAAATAAAATAATTCTTTTAAAAAAAAGTAAATCACCTAGAGGGCCAGGTGGTGGTGCAGCAATAACAAACTGGACCCACGCAGTTCATGTCCCAGGACCTCCCCAAACACACTTGTGTGTTGGGGTGCTGGGGATACAGCATTGGAAAAGGCAGACACGAAAAAAGGCAGACATTAATCTTTCTTTTTCTTAATTTTTAGACAGGATATCGCTATACAACCATCCTCCTACCTCAGGCTCCCAAGTAGCTGGGACTACTGTTGTATACCATCATGCTTGGCTTTTAGGGTAGGCTGGGAGTCGAACACAGGCCTCCTACGTGGCCTCAGCATGCTAAGCTAAAGCAAGCTGGGTGTGGTGGCACAGGCCTGTAATCCGAGCTAACTGAGAGCCTGGGGCAGGAGGACTGGGCATGGTGAAAACCTGTCGATGCCTACCCTTCTCTTTCTCCCTCTCTCTCATTAAAAAAAGCTATATATCAATATAATGAACATCTTCTGATCTCTGCAATAACGAAAATGCAAGCCCAGACTAGGAGAAAATACAGGCAATAGACATAACAAAGAACTATTACACA